TGCAAGTATATTAGATCTTTTAACAAATTAACCACATTCATTCATTATTCTATTTCTGTTCTTTTAATATTATTAATTTTGTTTTCCTAGGTTTTTAAAAAAAAAAACATTTTAAAGCATTTTTATTGGGTCACATTTTTCTACGTATGTATCTATATTTTTTCCATTCCTGATCTTCCATTTTGTTCTAAGAAAAATTTTTTACAAATATAATAAAATTAATGGTGCATAATTTGTTAATTTTATTAAGAAATAAATATTTGAATGTAAATATAGCGAAATTTTGAAATAAATTTAATGTGATTAATTCAAAAAAATATAAAAATTTTATTATAGAATGGTGTCTGTCCTTTTCGTACATTAAAAATTATGAAATAATTTTTTATTTGATAATAAAATTATTTTTGACCATTCTGAGAAAAGGTTTTATTTTCTATGTAGTTTGAATTTTCCTTATTTTAAATTTAATTACAGAAATTAAAAATTGTTTTTCTAACAAAATTAATAATAATTTTGTTAGAAAAGCCCCTTCTTTTTGGAAAATATTAATATTTTGGTCTTATGTTGATTTTTGAAGGAAATTTGATTGAAGAGAAGTGTTTAATAGCTTAAAAATTTTTACTCTTTATTTATAGAGAGCAATTAATTAGAGAATAATGAAATTATTATTAATTGTCGTTGAAACGAAAGTTAGATATTTCCATGTATGTTTATGAAAATACCAAAAAATACAATATATATGAAAAGAGAAAAACCTACACATATACATAAAACGTAGAGCATAAACATAAATATAAAAATTGTCACGTACTGACGTTCCTAATATCTTCAAAACAAAATAAGAGAGCATTAAATGTGCAAAGCAAAAAAAAAACCAACAAAAAAAAATAAACCATAACATTTATCAAAGAAAACCTCAGATAAAATAAAACTAAGAAACAGAAAACAAACTTATTCTCGAGGAAGAAAAAACCAAAATAAAAGAATAAAAATTCCCAAGTGCGAAAAAAATTCGTTTCTCACTCAAGTATGCTCATAAAATAAGAAGAGAAAAGAAGATCAACTATAAAAATTCCAATCATAATTCTTAACAACAAAAAAAGTTTTTCTTTTTCACTCACCACTTTCGTCATAATTTTTGCTGTTATGGTGTTAAAAGAAATCATAAATTCGAACGATTCAATCACACCAAACACTCTCTACTGACTCAACAATATTCTTTCTGCTCAAACACTCTTTTGCTTATTGCTAATGTTATGTCATATGTGTTGTGTTATACACTCATATACAATGCATGATTTACTATTTTTGTTTACTCTTTTTTCATTCAATTCCTGTGCGATGGTGTAAGATTTTTGAAAAAATAAAAAACAAATCACCTTTACAATATTTTTCTAATTTAAAACTGAGAAACAACAATAGCAATACAAAAAGCAAACAAAAATTTCTCACACCTCTGTTATTTAAAGTTTATTTATGTATACAGCATAACAGTATAAAATAAAACCATTCGATTCCACTCCTGGCAAACCGAAAATCTCCCAGAATAGCACGCGATGCACAAATTTTTTGTTTTTTTTTTTTTTTCGAAAAGTTCGTAAATTTTCCAAAAGTGCAACAAAAAATTTGCAGTATATTTCCCATTGTCAATTTGAGTTTTATTTTCCCTCAAGTTTTCACAAGAATTTTTAATAAAGTTTTAATTTAAGTTTTTCATCGTGTAAGTTTTTAAATTTACAAACTGTAGATGCGCTTATATAACACAAATATCTTAAAACCTCATATCTATGCGTGAAATCAAAATTGTTGCATCATAAATATTTATTAAAATTTCGAAGCTTACATCAAAAATCATATTCCGATTTAGATTTATGTGTCTGTAAAGACATTCATATGAGTATTAATGGCTTTAAATATGAAATGTACTCGTAGTAGGTACACAAAATATTAACCTACAAACAGTGAGTAGAGTATGAATGGCGTAAATGTGATGAGTGAATCTATATAATGTTCAGTTCAGATAATGATAAAAACTTCGGCAATAAAATGACATAAATATGATTTTATTAAAAGTACTATACAACAAAATTTCTAAACAAGCTAGAAAATGTTAAATTTCAAGACGAAAATCTTCATGAAATCTAGAATATACTTGTATTAGTTGCAAATGTTCATGTGTGCCTGAAATTTAAAATAACTTAAATATTTAAAATAAATCAACAATTTTTTCTATTTCATATCTGGTTTTTGTAGCAGCAACAATCCTTAATGTATTCCCTATTTAAGTAAGTATATAAAATTAAATTAAAAATATTGCAATTTATTTTATTTTTTAAAAGTGTACATTATACGTAATGCATAGCAAGTATATCTATGCATATGACATTAAATTACATTCGTGATTCTATTTTTAAAATTCAATTATGCAATCTTGGGAAATTTTATAAAACTCATCCGGAATCAAATTAAAAATTTAATAAATTAAATAAAAACAAAATTTATGTCCATACATCATGTATATATGAAAGTTTCAAGGATATTTCTGGTATAAATTTTACTAAAGTATAAAAATAACAAAATTTTTTTAAATTCATGTACACTTCTATGTATATATGTATGTAGATAGGTTTTTTAAATATTAGAATATGAGTGAATGTGACATGAAATAAAAAGCAGAATTAATACATAGCTAGTTATATAACTTTATAATTTTGTTGAGTGAAACATGGTAACACTACATGATTTTCTTAAAATAGTTTTCCATATAATTAATGTGAAGCTAGACTACTTAAATATTCTGAAATGCTGATTCGGAACCGCGTTTATTTCTAAAATAATTTCTTATAATTGAAAAATTTCTATTCATACCAGTAAACCAATTAAATTATTGTCATACCAGTAAACTAATTACTTACTGAAATTAATAGTGACACAGTAGCTATACATTGCGATTTAAAAGCAATAGAATTTTTTCAAATTCTATGGTAATACTAAATTAATACTATCAATCGATTCTAATACATCCGATAGCAATAATTTTTAGTTTTTCACCACCTTCATAATACGAGTAATAATTTATATACGAAACATTTCAAAAAAATTTCTTTCAGTGTCACTTATTTGAACACAATATGTACCGCACCGTGCATAATAATTTGTTTTATGTACCTACCCGATTTTAATTACTCTTTATTGTGAATACTTGCTTTATATCGTCTTATTTTATACATTTACAATTTGAAATAATATATTTGTGTGTTTATATGTGCTTAAGGCACAATAATTTTCTAATTTCAGAATTGAGAAAATAATGCTCTTTATACCGCTAACATACTTAACCTTATATTTGTTTCACATTTCTGTTATATATTATATTTGTGTCAAAATGCCTATGGCACTGATTACATGTGTATATATTCATTCATTGTTCATAACATACGAATAAACTATATTAGACATATTAACATACATATACATTTGCATATAACACAGATATTTTGCGTTTTATTTTTTTCCGTGAAAATCATTAATTTTAAAAATATTTTCAAGTACATTAACATTACAGAGTGTTTTTAAATTAAGATGTCAATTAATTAATTTTTTTATCATCATTCTGCTAACCTAGTTTTGATTTCGAACTAGTTTATTTTATGTAAAACTTAAAGAGCTTTTGATATTAAAGCACATTATATTTTCTAGAATTTTAAATATCTTTGATCAGATAGACTGCTTAGGCCAAGCATCAATTGTATTGCAAATTAATATTGCACGAAAGATCTAAAACAATTATCATTTAGAAGCACAAAAATGCAGCTATCAGATTGCCTAGTAAAATCGTATGCATTTCATGAGAATCGAAATTGAAGAGAAATGGTAGAGTGTTAGTAAGGGTTAGAATTCATTAGTATGAGAGACACAAAAAAACTGTTTTGGATTAAGTCCCGTAAAACTACAAATAAAAAAGAGTTCAATCACAATACTACTGATATCTAACCCACAGTTGAACACAAATTCCTAGATAATATAAACCTCAACGCACAATTTCCAATTACAAGATCAAAATAACCAGAGTTAGAATTAGCGGCATGCAATATTCTAGTCATCGGCTCATTCCTCCCATAATCTGTGATGTGATGACGAACATTGAAAAGCTCCATCAACCTCAAATTGTTTGAATTCTGCCTAAAAGACACTTGCTCCAACAAAAACGGCGAAACAACATTTCCTAAATTAAGTTGATGAATAAAAACCACATCAGCGATTATTCTACGAGAGAGCAACGATTAGTTGAATTCTCTCGGCGCCAACCTGAGAGAATCGAACCAATTTATACCGCATAATGCGAAACGAAGAAATCTTTTTTTGAACGGAATCGATTTTAGAAAAATCAATAGGCACCCAAACCTGATCCGCGTACTCTAAAACGAGCCTAACATATTATAAATAATTAAGCTTCTCAGCGTAGGGGTTAACAAACTCCTTTGCCCATCTCATAACGAAGCCTAATTTAGTATTCGCCCTATTTATAATCGTGTTAAGGTGTTGAATTTACCAACTTTTTATTTTGACCAGAAGTACAAGTAAAATTAAAATTGGAAAATTTGAAATTTGGAATTTTTTGAATTGAAGGTAAGAATTCAGAATAATTTTTAATCTAATCACGGAATCCCGTCTATTTAAAAGTAATATTTTAATTAAATTATTCCTATACAATTTATTTTTAACTTAATTCAAAAATTTCAGCTACACTATTTAATGTTGAAATTATGCATAACGAACTTCCGAAAACATTAATACTTTTCATATTAAAATGAAATTCAAATTAAACTTGCTTAATTTCTTAGAACTCTTTTCTATATATAAATAAGTTGCATTGCAAGTTTTAAGAACTAAAAACTTTTTACACATGGCACAACAAATTTTTCCTAGTTTTCCATATTAATTCGCTTCTATATTCATAACAATGATCCCCATTATTAATTGCATTTTACTTTACTTACATACTGATGTGGTAATATTTATGAGCCATATACCAATTTTCGCCAACTACCCAAAACAATTCCTACTACAATATTGCACTTTATTACCAAATGTTTATACATACACATGTACATGCAAAATATTAATAATCTTCATGTGGAAAATTTCTTTTCACCTGAAATGAAAAATAATAAGGAAAAATAATTTAATATTATTAAGGAACACTCGTGTAGGCAAAATAATGAAAAAAAAACTTATATAGAGAATAAATTTAAATAAAGCAAATTTTTTTTGTAATCAGTAATTCAAATTGTTTTTAAGAGGTTTACGGTTTTTTCACTCAGCGAATTATAAAACGCCTAATGTACAAATTCTAGAAATAATTCGAATATTTTATTAAATAAAATAATGGTGTAACTTTGTGACAATGACTTTGACGACCTTGAAAATTTATAATAGTTTTAATTTTTCAATTGTATACAATGACTTGTTTGTTATTTGAAGTGTCCCACGCAGTAAATACGTAACACATAAGCCGTAACAAATTGATTTAAACTAAGTATACAATGCAGTTAAACCGACAGTAAACCGAAAATCTTTAATAGTGATGGAAAAAAATTCGCTAAATTTAAAATTTAGTAAAGATTACTTAACATTTGTTCTCGAACTAATTGAAACCAATAATTATTTTTGGAGGATGCATTTAGATAGCATTGATTTTAGTGAAATGATCTTGAAATGAAAACAACTGAAGTAGAACAAATTTAAGTTGAGAAAAATGATGAGAGAGTCAACATAAGTTAAGTTAAGGTTAGATTAAGGCAGCCATCGTAAGGAACACATAGGCCAGATAGGCCCGTTGTGATAGCGTCTTCCCAAGAATCAGCGCGAGCTTTTTAAAAATCGGTTGAGATCCGCGACATTTACACTCGCCAGAATCGTAGTGCGTTAAAACAGAAATAAACTAAGCCATCTCCGTTTATTCTTGTCAGAGCAGGAAACAAGCATAGAAGAACAAGCATCTCCTATGCTACAGCAAATCTTGCAAAGACCATTCGCAGGGCGGCCCATTCTCCTGGCAGAGAAGCAACTTTAACTTTTAAATTCAATCACGTAATAACTTTCAATTTTAGTTTGCTATTCGAAGTCAATAAAAAATAAGCAGCTCTATTAACTATATTTAAGCCAGTAAATTACTGTCATCACAATTATTATAATAGCATTTAAAAGAGATTTCAAACAAGAATATAAATTAAATTATTTGTGCCGAAATTTTTCATTTTCATTTTTACGAAAATTAAATTGTTCAAATTAATTGCTTTTTTTTATCCTTTCATTCTTAACATTTTTCCATTTAATTATATTTCTTATTCTCAATTATATATGACAAAAATATGAAAATCGAATAATTAATAAAATTGTATAGGGCATATAGACACTTTAAACGATGATACCATAATTTTAAAAGCATTTGTCATAAAAGGATTTTCTACCAAATGTATCAAATTTCTTTTGTTTTTTTATTACTGGCACGCGATATTTTTTGAATAATTATTGTTAACAAAAAAAAAAAAATTTGTTTCCGAAAGGTCTTTGAACGAGTCAACCATTGCATGACGGTGGTGGTGTGCTCTATACAATTTGTATGCAATGTAACCTTAATTGAATTTTACAAATTATTTTGGTTTTTGTTTTTCGGTCTTTTATGATTTTTCATTTCAGATTTAAATTTCAACACCTTTATGTATTTTTATTTTTATCATCATCATCGTCATCATCATCATCATTGCATGTATACAGAAAATGGTCATCGAAAACTGAAAACTGAAAACTGCATTATTAATTAAAAGAAAAAACAGAAAAAAAAAGAGCAAATTGGGAACTTGTGCACTTAAAAATAAAAACTTTTGATGACCTGCAGCTTAAAATAAAAACTTTTTTTTCTTTTTAATTCGCATTTCAAATTGTTTTTAGGAATTAAAACAAATTTCAGAATGAAAAAAAATGGTTATTTTTTTAGGAAAAAAAATTCTTTACCATTCTTTATGATGCACACTTTTTAGTTTTCATTTTGAAATTAGAAATAAAAGTTTTTTTTTTTTTTTCGAAACTTTTCGAATATTTTTTTTTTTTCGAAACTTTTTATGTATGCTTGATAATTAAACACTTAACATTTTAGTAAATTTTTTAGAATAAATTTTTTATATATAGGTATAAGAGCATAATTGGGATGCAGACAGCATTAATAAAATTAAGAGAATTTCATATGAATTGCATAATATAAATTAAGAGAATTTAAATTAAATAATTTTAATAAATTTAAAATTTTCAAAATATTTAATTTTAAATTGAATAATTACGTGAGCTATCATTGTCATTTATGTGAAAATTTTTTTTTTAGTTTAATGCAATGCGCTTAATGAATTCGAAATTTATTATAATTGACAACATAATCGTGTATCTCTTTTGTTTTACTCACTTTTTATTCACATTCAAATCAGAATTCTACGTTTTTCTAATGGTCCTTTTCATTTTTCTGAAAAGGACCATTAGAATTGACTGAACTTTTCACTTTCAAAAATATAGCAAATAAATTTTGAATAGATTTTAAAAAACAAACAAACGTGATACACAATATGGAAGAATTCTTCTCACTCGAAAATTACATTATACACAAATATAGTATAGTTATTACTCACTTTCATCTCACTTGCCGAATAAAATAACGAGATAGACGACGAGGCTCTAACAATAAAATTTTTTAAATAATTTTAATATATTCAACAAAAATATCGCAGAAACGTTTAACATCTTCTTACAGTATTTTACTAAACAAAGTAGAATCTCAGTCTTTTAAAAATATCTTCCATATTTTCTTTTATACAGAAATAATTTGAATTTTATATCAGAGATGTAAATAACCCTAAAGAAATTCTTGATTTACTTTCTTCATTTTCAAACAAATTTAGGGTTTGTTCGAAATCTACAAAGATTTTCATATTACAATTTATTATTTTTTTTTTTTTCGAAAATCAATAATTTCCATTCAAATAAATTACTGAATAAAGGCAATATGCAAAAAAACAAAAAAATTAAATTCCAAATTACATAATTATTATACGATAATTTGGAAAATGATACTCCGATTCCTTTCCTGATGTTTTCCCATTAAAAAAAAAAAAATTTCTTTTACAAAAAAAAAAATTACTTTGTTATTTTTATACACAAATTATACACAAAAACAAGAGAAACAAAATATAATAAAAATGAAAGAGAGAAAAGAAAAAAAAATAAAACTTGAAACATTAAAAACATTTTATTTTCTTATTTTCTCCCTTTAATAATCTCATCTTTGTATGCTTAAGTATGTCTTAAATTTTTATTTTCTTATTTTATCTCCTTTTGTACTCCTCGTACTCTTGTGCTCTTCTTAACATTTCGTATTATGAGAAAAGGTAAAATATCGTCATAAAGGTTTCTTCTTTTTTTCCCCACCATTATTTTATTACAGCTACAGTTTTCTCTTTATTTAATATTTCTTATTTCTCTTATTTCTCTTTTTTATCAAAAAAAAAATGATAATAAAAATAAAAAAAATCCTCAGGGCTTGTTTCTTTTTTTTTCACATAAAAAAGTAAACATACTCTCAAAGTATAAAGAGTAAATAAAATTATTGATATTTTTCTTCTTTTTTTTTTTGGTTTTTTCATTTACAACAGCTATTACAATAAAAGTACCATACTTTTCTTTTTCTTAAATAATATTTAAAATAAGTGACGCCTACCGGTATGCAATTTTTTAATATTTTCATAAAAATTATAATTTTATTATATTGGTTGACTTCATTTTTTTTATTTTTATTTTCTTATGTAATAAGAGTTTTTGATGAAATTTTTTTTTTGCTTTCAATTTATTAAAATTTTTGGAAATTTTATTAACAATTCATTAAAATCTTCATCAAAATTTTTACGATATAAGTATACGTTACATAGCTAGTTGAACCTGTAATTGAGAGGTACCTAAATTTTATTATTATATGAAATATTATTTTATTGGTGAGACAATATTGGTGTAGTATTTAGATTAAAGTGTTATTCATTTAGGTTCAGCCCAAGGAAAGTAATAAAATTTCAATATGAAATAATTTTAACGAGTTTAAGTGATTTTAATAATACAAAAGTACGGTGTAGTGGCACTACATGGAATTTCTGGAAAATTATCATATGCTTATAAATTTTTCAAAATTTCAGAACAGTATAATAATTTTTAGTCGTTTCAATTAAGAGAATATCCCGTATTATCAATTAAGTTTAAAAATCCTTAATAGTATCGTAATGTTTAGTACTTTTATTATATAGAATAAATCGATATTAATCATATTGAAATTTAAATTTAAAAATCTAATTCTTATTAAAAATAAGCATAGTAAACCATAATTCTTTTATTAAATTATGCTATTATTGCAATTTCAATTGTATTAAGACGTCTAAATTCCAAATTTTATGTAAAATTTCATAATTTAACAGAAACACATCGAAATTTTCTGTATGGTTTCTGTTTTTCTATATTTCTCTATTCTAGTACTTAGCCGGCTTTCTCGTTGTGTTTAAAATCTCCCTCGGTTCTAATTAAAAATATCATGGTTTAAGAGACTTTTGATCACAAATGGTTTTACAATTCCAACGAAATTACTAATTTAGGAATGGTTATATTTAAACTCATACACCATTCATTTTCACCAACAATAATTTCTTTTGTGCACTTCAATTGTTACCAACATAATAAAGGGCTATAGATAGACAAATTAATATAAAAAATTTTACAATATAAGTAAAAAAATGAACAAAAAATGAAATATTAATTTTACATTTTTATTACTTTAGAATGGACTAACTGAAAAAATTTGTAGTCACAGACAAAAACCAAAAGTAGAAAGAGAAAAAAGGATTCGCTCTTTTAAAAAAAAAGGAGCACTTTACAATTTTTTCCTTCTTTTTCTGAAGAAAATTCATTTGATTTTTGTTTTTGCTTTTCCATCTTATTTTGTTGCAAATTGTTTACTTTTTAGAACGATTTTTACTTTGCTCATTTTCTTACAAAAAATTTTTCATTTTTATTCCCAACATAAATTTTTCACCTTTTTTTTTACATTTCTTCTTCCAATGTTATATTTTT